CCCCGCGCAGCCTCCTTGCAGAATGTCTTCATCTTGGGGGACAAAAAACTTTCGGGTAATTGATTGAAACATGTCAATCTCATGTCATCTTGATCGCTAGATTTTGGCAAAATTTCAAATTTTGGACAGCTAACCCCCAGGCAGCTCCATCTCAGACAATCGCGTGCAAAAATAATGAGACTTTTCACATTTTTGGCCATTTTAAAGTACGTCGGCCTCCCCCCTGCTCCCATGTATAATGTATCTCTTTAGTACAAGTTGTACAGTATAAAAATGTACTTTTATTGCCTTCAATATCAAAACCCTATTTCCTTACACGTGGTCTCTTTCTGATACCTAAATATATATTACATCACGTGCCATGACGTGACTACATTACATCCCTCCTTTTCTTTAAAATAACTCATTAATGTTAATTGCCGTTTATTGAATATTACCTTATAAAGTCTACGTGTCCGCTTTACCAGTAATTATTTAACTAGTTTTAACATGTCTAACTTCTATAAAAGTCCGGTGGTCTTCGATTTTGTCTAAGACAATACCTTCGTTGTAGATCTGGTAGATCTTGTTGTTGCTCTTCAACTATTGTTGGTTGCTGGTTTTCTACTATGTCGTCGTCAAAATCGTCTTCTTCATCATTCTGGTCTTCCTCACTTGCGTTCTTGTAATTTGTGAGACATTTGAAACACGATACATTCCGGGTTACGGTGCGCTCTGTATTACGAGCTGTTACCATGTTGCCTTTGATTTCAATCACTTTAAATGGTTTTGGATTGAAAGGCATTGATAACTTATTGTCCTTCGGGACTTGCATTAGCACATGATCACCAACTTTCAACTGACTTTCTTTCGCGTTGTTTCTTCTATCAGCATGGACTTTCATTTTCTCCTTTTCCTCCTTATCTCGAACAACGTGGTGTTCCATAGGGCCATCATTGTGTTGTAGGGATGAGAAACTAGGAAGCTTAAATCTAATTGAGCGATTGAACAAAACTTCAGCTGGACTAGTGTGTGTCGTAGAATGAGGTGTGGATCTGTAGTTGAGAAGAAAAAGATCCAATTCACTTTGCCATCTTTTTCCTTCCGAATGAGCAGTACGGATTGCTTTTGTTACTGTTTTCATGAATCGCTCTGCCTCACCGTTGGCTTGAGGCCAATAAGGTGTGATTCGGCGGTGATGGACTCCATGTGCAGCTAGATATTCGGTGAACTCAACCGCATTGAACGGGGGTCCGTTATCGGTTATCAATTCTTCGGGATATCCATGTCGGGCAAAGATTCTTTGGAGTTTGGAGATCACAACCGTGGTTGTCGTGCTTTGCATCACTTCAACTTCTGGATATCTGGAATAGGCGTCAATCACGACCAACAATTTCTCGCCATTTGGGAATGGACAACAGAAATCTGCATTAAGTGTGTGCCAAGGATGTGGAGGTAACTTTGTCATATTCAGGGGTGGTTCACATTTTGGTGACTGGTGTACTGCTGCTTGGCAGGGTATACATTCTTTAACCATTTGCTCCACTTGCTTGTCAATACCAGGCCACCATACTTTACTGCGTACAAGCATTTTAGTTTTAACTATCCCTTGATGTCCTTCATGAGCGATAGAAAGGACACGACTACGGAGACTCTTTGGGATAACGATCTGTGCATTTCGTAGTATAACTCCACATTCCGAAACTGTCAACTGTTCGTGCTGATTACGATATGGGCTTAAACAACTATCTGTTTTGTTCCATCGATCCTCCTTTACTGCGCTGGTTACTCTCTGCAATTCAGGATCATTTAACGTTGCGATACGAATCTCATCGAGCGTGAGAGATTTAGGAACCGAGTGACTTTGGATGAAACTGACATATTTCTCCGCTATGGTACTTGACTTGTAGTTGGTGAATAAAGGTTGTCGAGACAACACGTCAGCTGGGTTGCTGCTACCTGGTCGATACTTGATATTAAACTTGTATTGTTGCAATCGTAGTAACCAACGTTCTATCCGGAGTGGCGGTTTGGACTTTGGGCTGTAAATGACTTCCAATGGTTTGTGGTCAGTGATGAGGTCAAATTGTGTTCCAACAAGGTAAAGATGAAAACGTTCACAACCCCACACTGCAGCCAATGCTTCTTTTTAGGTCTGCGAGTAGCGAGCTTCCACAGGCGTTAGGGAACGACTAGCATACGCTATGCAGCGATCTTGCCCATTTTCTTGTGTTTGGGCTAATACTGCACCAAGTCCGACAGGAATTGCATCCACTGTCAATTTTGTAGGTCGATTTGGATCATAAAATGCCATCGTGCAGTCCGAAGCAATAGCATTTTTAACTTTGGTGAAAGCTTTCTCATGCATAGTTGACCAAGACCATTTGCACGATTTGGTTGTTAATTCACGTAGAGGGGCTGTTAGAGTGGAGAAGTCCTTAATAAATCGTGAACAGTAATTGGCCAGACCTAAGAAACTGCGTAGTTGACTGACATCTGCTGGTGTTTTGAAATTTTTAATTGCCTCGACTTTCTTTGGATCTGCTCCGTCCTTTGACAGAATGTAGCCGTCCGTCCTTTGACAGAATGTAGCCATAGAACCAAAGTGACGGTTGATTAAACTTGCATTTCTCCAGGTTTAATGTAAGTTTCTTGACAACTAATCGCTGTAACAGTGCTTCTAAATTCTTGTCATGCTGGGTTTGGGTTTTACCCCATACAATAATATCGTCTGCGATATTTCGTACCCCGTGTAGACCATGGAGCGCTTGTTGTATTGCATTTTGGAATACTTCTGAAGCACATGACAGACCAAATGGCAGGCGCTTATACCGAAACAACCCCTTGTGTGTGCAAAAAGTGGTAATGTTACGCGAGTTCTCTTCTAGGACTATCTGATGGTATCCTGCTTTGAGGTCTAGCTTAGAAAACACGACAGCACCAGACATTTCTTCCATTAACTCATCAACTGTTGGGATTGGATGTCTCTCCCTTAACAATGCCTGATTTGGTCTACGGTAATCTCCGCATAATCTGATTTCATCTGAATTGTGTGGTTTGGGAGCAGCTACTATGGGTGATACCCATGAAGTAGGTCCTTCGGCAGGTTCAATAATATCGAGACTTTGTAATTCTTCTAGTTTATCTGAAACTTGCTTTCGTAAATGGAAAGGGACTCTCCGAGGGCGTTATGCAATAGGGGAAACTGTACGATCAACATGCAATGACTGTTCATAATTTTGCAAACACCCTATTCCGTCAGAGAGTTCTGGAAATTTATCTACAATTTTCTGTGTATTAATGTCAATGTTTTTCATGCTATTTCTGTCCCTTATTTCTCGATTTCCGGAGTCACTTTGACTGTTCGCGTCACTTCCGTTTGAGTGGCTTCCGGTGTTGATTTCATTCCTACCTCGACTTCCGGTTGTTTTCATGCTATGAAATTTAGAGACTTCGGTAACTTTTATTTTTAAAATGCCTAACTCTGCGGCTGTTTCACTACCGAGAAGTGATCCCGCTTTGCCGTTGACAACATAAAACGTCGATATTGTAAGCTTTCCATTCGATTCAACCGCTAAACGACACTTTCCGAGCAATGGCAAGGGCTGAACGGCATTATATGCATATATATTTGTTTGTGTTGGCTCTAATTGTACATGTTTATTTCTTTTCCTAATACAAGCGAATGCTTCACTATCAAGGATATTTGTTGTCGCTCCTGAATCGATAGTCACAGCGATATGGGTCCCATTGATCTGTATTTGAATGTTAGTTATTTTTGATGATGAAACATCAAAAGTATACTCATCGTCGGACGAATTAGGAGGGCTTTGTTTTTGGGTTTGTTGTTGTGCAACTCTAACAGACTCTCTCGAATCTTTCTTACTATCTTTCGGGGGATTTTTTCGACTTCGACAAACTCTAGCGAAATGATTGAGCTTTCCACAAGCTCTACAGGTTTTGCCCTTCGCAGGACAGACATCTTTATGCCCTTGTTTAAATTCATTTCCACAATTTCGGCATTGATTTTGTTTGTGTGGTTTTGGTACATATTTAGCATGTCTTACCTTGTCTTTAGCTTCGTCATTTCCCTCGTCTTTTACACGATTAACATTGTTCCGAGAGTTATTGTGTCCCGAGATATTCGACGCTTGTTTTTCTGCTAATTCCTTCGCTCGCGCCATAGTAATAAGCTTAGCGAATGTCAGATCTGTCTCGCGTAAAAGCTTCGTACGAAATCCATGAGACGAGCATGTCATAACAAACTGATCGCGTATCCCATCCTCGTCGCCAAATATAATGTATCTCTTTAGTACAAGTTGTACAGTATAAAAATGTACTTTTATTGCCTTCGATATCAAAACCCTATTTCCTTACACGTGGTCACTTTCTGATACCTAAATATATATTACATCACGTGCCATGACGTGACTACATTACACCATGATCAATGTTGGAAAAAGTGGGTTGAATTTTCTCTTTTCAGTCATCCACACAACATTGAATTGGGGGTGAGGGGGGCACTTATGCGGTTGTCTCAATAATTTTTGCTCCTGATTGTAGCTACAAGCTAGATCTTCCTGCCAGTAGTTGACAACCCTCTTAAACTCAAGAAATCCTTGAGTGTGCCAACAGTCAAAGTACCCAAATCATCATACCCCTCCACATATAGTATAAAACATCCACATGAAGCAAAGATATTGGAAGAACTTTATAGTATCTCACAGGAAGAACCAGGGATGGATCCAGCATGATCTGGGGGGGGGGGGTGGAGTGCTCTTCCAGCTCTGGTGCCGAGTTGTGTCGGTCATGTGTGCCGCCTGTCTACTTGACTACAGCAAAGCTCCTGTTTCCTTGACTACTGCAAAGTCTTGCTTGACTACTGTATTTGAACTGTAATTGTTGTTCACAGTTCGCTTATCATCATGTTATTACCCAAATTACTGTATCTCATTTTGTCTCTGATAATTTTTTCTTTATCATGAAAAATAGCACCCCCTGCACCCCTCTGGCCAGGGCTATGGGATGCACCCCTCCCCCCCCCCGAATCCCTAGGAAGAACTTTATAGTATCTCACATGTGTTTAACGGAACTATTTACAAAAAACAAGAATCAATGCTACCGACAAATAGACTCACAAATATATATTTTCTAATTTGGTGTAGAAAAAATTACAATATAATATATAGTATATTGATCAATATAGCATACCTTTTATTGTTTTAATATACAAAACGCTGCAAACATCATGAAAATAACAAAAGTTTAAACTATTTATACATGAGAATTCACAATACTATAATAAGTTCTATACAGAACAGTAGTTTCGTGATAAAACGCGGTTTTGTGTGTTAAACAATGGTGATATAAATATAGTATAAATGCATGCATGGCGCAAGGCATAAATACAACAAAATTGTATATATCTGGCAAAATATACGAGCAACACCGACGACAGTTACATAAAATGCAGAAAAAAAACTTACCTTTCACCTCATTGTACTTTTACCACATGAAAACAACTTTAAAATGTAATTTTTTGTGATTTGTGAGATCGCAAGACAATACACTCCGGATGTAGCAGAACAATAGTGATTTATATTAGGCTTGGTGACCGCGCCTGCAAATTCTTGCCTACCCGACAAAATGTCATCGAAAACCGTGAAAAAGCCTATTCAAAAATTGAAGCCCTGATTGCGGACTCAGGATATTCCAATGAAATGAGAAGACTCGTATGTTTTCTATTTCTTAAACATGGAACTTAAACATTAAGTTAAACCTATTCCAAATACATTTTCAAACTATTCAAATGATGAAAGTTATTGTTGTTTTTTAAGCGTTTATTAGCGAGTGGGAAACTCCAACATGGCCGCCGTCAATTCAAATGGGGTAACCGCTGGAATATTCTTGGCTTCAATTTTACTAAAAGTGATGCGCTATCTAGTTTATATAAGATATCGATGGTAAAAATTTTACATTTCAAACTTCGTCATAAACTGATGAACAGGAATAGTGGCGTCAGCAGTCGTTTTCATACGCCAGAACGACAATCGTATGCGACTAGTCGTGTCGTGTAAATGGGCCTTTAGCTGTGCTGGAAAGCGTGACCGGCCGAGTTTGAGTACGGTTCACAATTCTTCGTTCCCTGTGGGAACGGGACCTTAAATTAATTCGAAAGTAAGCAAATATATCGTTACCGGAAAACACTGATATTTGGCTGGTGTATTTTCATCAATTTCGTGTCTTCTCAAAGACACGAGACCGACTGTGAAAAAACTCCAAACTCAGAATTCACATCCTCTATATACTCCCCATCCCTTGACCGGAACCCATTCTTGCTATGGTAAATCCTAGTAGGTAAATTAATTATGATAACAACAATTCCGTTTATTTATTATTATATAGATTGATCGGGACAACGATGGATCCAGTAAAAGCCAAAGCTAATTATTTTAGAGTATGTGCACTATTGGTAAACTTAGGAGGCGTTGCCTTAAGATCTGCTTTGCATACGGTACATCCGCCTTCCACTTTAGCTGCCGTGTTAAATGCCAATAAATTTGCCTTGAAGAAGATAAGGTACAGTATAATTAATGCCTCGCAATGGAACTTATTCTTTCCAGTTTCGGGTACACCAGATTCGAAAAATTTTGATATAACTTTATTAACTATCCTACTGCGAAATATTTGTGGATTGGCATCACCAGATGCAGGATGGAAGATTATGCCACCAGCCAGCGATACATCTATATCTGCCAATATTATGAGGATTAAAATTTTCAGAAATGAGGTTTATGGTCATATTGCAAATGCTCAATTTGATGACACCACATTTGAAACTTTGTGGCAAGAAATTACAAAGCCTTTGCTTAAGTTAGGAATTCCTCAACAATATATTGATGAATTAAAGACAGTGCGTGTCAGTTTTGAAGAAGAGTGTTATATTGAAACAATAAAGGAATGGACAGAACTAGAGGATAAACTTTTTTCAGTGAATCTTAAAAGTAAGGATTCCGTCTTACCAAAGACCTTTGAAAATGGGAATCCCTCGCATGTACAAGTTAACCAACTTACGAAGTTTGATTTTACTCGAAAAATTGATGACCTTGGTAAAAGGTTTCATGGTTGTACTAGACATTGGTGTTTTGAACAGGTTTCAAGTTGGTTTAGTAAAGAAAAGTCCACAGTTATGATCATGACTGCAGATTCTGGTGATGGAATGAGTGTTTTGTCTGCAAAGGTTTGCAAGCTATATGATCAATGTTGCAAACTCGCAGCATACCATTTCTACGACTTTAGAAACGAAGATTACAACAATCCCAAGAGAATTCTCCAGTCTCTTGCCAGTCAAATGTGCGACAATGTTGATGGATTTCGTGACAAACTGACTGAAGTACTTCGTCGTGAACATTATCAAGATTCACTATCAGACGCATTTCGTGTTCTTCTAAACGTTCCACTACATGCCCTCGACAGACATGAGCCAATGCTGATTGTTGTGGACGCTATGGAAGAGAACAAAACTGATGTCAAAAACGAATTTTTGGAAATGATATTTGAGGAATTTCTCGAATTGCCAAAATGGGTTAAGGTACTCGTTTGGAGTAAAGCGGGGTTTAATGCACGGAAGAAACTTCTACATCTACCAGCAGAGCTTTTGCCTCGAATTTGTTTGTTGAACGCAGGTAATGTGAGAATGCTTAAAGTGTTGAATTGCAAATGCTTGTTTCTGCTCGCTTTTCCTCGCAGTTAATTAAGGTCTCTTTCCATTACATCCACTTTCCCAAACAGGCCAAATGGACACTATACGCATGCGCTGCAAAGTTATGATGTGCCAGGGCGTTGTGAAAACCCGGAATGCTGGAATATCACGGAATATGGCGGAATATTACGGAAAATGGCGAAATATCAGGGAATATCACGACATTTTCCCGGAATACACCGGAACATCACAATATTTTCCGATGGTAGCCATGCGACTGTTTATAAACATGGACGTCTGACAACATATTTTATTACAAAAGTGATGGATGTATCCCATTTTGGCGGTAAATATCAAACAACAACTCTATTACGAACGCCTTCAGAACTGTGTTATACACAAAATTTAGTTAAAATTGACAATTTTATACCGCCAAGGATTTATCCAAAATTCAAATGCTAAAATGAAGACAAGTTTGAGCCAAGATGTTTAAATTAATTCTTGTTTATATCAGGTAAAAAGTCCTGTCTTAACCTTAACCATTAATTTTTACTAAATTTTGTGTATAACACAGTTCTGAAGGCGTTCGAAAATAATGCTGACGTCAGCACTTCTATTTTTCAAGACGCTGTAACTCAGAAGGAATTAATCATATTGATTCAAAATCATAATAATAAATGATATAAACAACATATAAAACTTCCAGTATAGAGTTATTGTTTGTTTCTTACGTATACCGTCAAAATGGGAAAGATCCATCACTTTTGTAATAAAATATGTTGTCAGACGTCCATGTTTATAAACAGTCGCATGGCTACCATCGGAAAACATTGTGATGTTCCGGTATATTCCGGGAAAATGTCGTGATATTCCGTAATTTTCCGGCATATTCCGTGATATTCCGGCATATTCTGTGATATTCCGGCATATTCCGTGATATTCCGGCATTCCGGGTTTTCACAACGCCCTGATGTGCCACGAGCAACTCACTTGCAACGCCTGTGAACGCTTTGAAACTGTTGAAAAAATTCAACCAAGACGCTTATATAATGGGCGGTGCAACGCGCTGATGTCGTGCCAATCGATAAACACGTACGTGCTTTTCGGACACTGTTGTATTTTCAATTTTTTTCCCGTTAATCCCGAAATTCTCTCGACGAAATAGTAACTAGTGTATGGTATGAATGCTTAATTGTTTGGCCTATATATATAGTTGAACTTTTTATTTAAAAAAGTATTGAGGATAATGGCTCGGGCTTTTGATGACTTCAATTAAGGGAAATTTTCAAAACAGCATTTGGGCATTTTATCAAGTCGTCCAAACTAAAAGTCTTGTTGATCAACCTCGGTTGATCGTTTGAATACATGCATGGCGTTGGAAAGCGAAATGTTTGTTGTGGGTTAAATTTTAAATTAAATTAAGTTAACGAGCGTGCGTTTTTTATAATTTGTGCTAGTACAACTTTTGTGTAGCGATGATGCGTTTCTTGTGTTATAATTATGGATTTCCATTTTAGCAACTATTTAATCCAAAGTTGGCGTAAAACGACGAGTTTGAAGAGTTTAGTATCGAGATTATTAAGGATAGTATTGTCGAAACCGCACCAAAAACGAAAACGAAACAAATGGCGAGGGTATTTCGTGTTTTAAAACATAAGACTGTGTTTGTCTTTGTGCAAAATCTAACCCATTGTAAGCGGTTAAGGTTACAGTACACCCTTTTTGGCGTTTTGTGGAAAATCGCTACTGCATGCGCGCTCAAAATCAGTCCGATTTTCATCAAATTTTCACCAAATGTTAGCCAGTGCATGCAAAATGTGATAAAGTTGTAAAATTGACAAACAATAAAATAGTGTAAGAATTATTCAGGAAAATCTTAAGTCGCGGTACCTTTACGCTTTTGAGTTATGTTTCTGTTGGTTTTAAGATATGTTTATGAAAATATCATTTTTATACAGTAAAATAGTTGTTCTAAAAAATTGTGTTCGGAATTTTTTTTTATTTCGTCATTCCGCTGATATGCATGGTGATTTCTTTGACAACTGCAATATATTTCTGAATCGTTTGTGTGAATTGCTTCTTATTTATTTATTAAAATATCCAAAATTAGAACAAAGCCGAAAACATATTTGAAACTGGCATCTTTAGATATGTCCTGTGAAAATTTGAGAAAAATTCGTTAAAACCCGCAGGAGCACAACTCGTTTAAAAATCAGTAATTGCCGTAAAATTCTTCGGGAGAAAATTGAATTTGAATATTACATTTTCCATGTTTTTCTTATTCAGACTTGGTCAGATAGTAGAACTAGTCTAATGCTTTCATGGAAACCAATAACATAATTTAGGCAAAATCAACACTCAAAGGTGTTCTGTAACCTTAAGGACTGGCGAAGTCGAGAAAACAACATACGGCGCTAATTTATTCATGGGATGTTCTTTCAAGATAGATTCTTTTAAAACCGTAATTGTAAATAAAATATCGCTGTTTTCTTGTCATAGTTTCATATTTTTTGCATTCAATTTTTTTTCGCAAATCGTTAGCGTTTATTTCAGCATTTACTCAAATTGAATATTAAAACTTTCAAGCACTCTTATCGGGTTTTACACAAGAACTGGTTACGAACAAAGAACTCGACATTTAATACTGCACTCGACTTCGCCTCGTGTGGTATTAAATATCGTGTACTCCTGCATGTAAATCCTTAATTATTATATTGCAAAGCGGTGCATCTCGAAAATACAGCTTTTTTATTGGTTCCTGAACGGTCGGTAACCTCCACTACGGAGAGCTCATTGATCTTATTATATATGACCGCTAAGATGGACCGCTTGCCAAGGAAATAAAGAACTACTCTTTTCGCAGCAAATGCAGTTCGACTTTTATACAACCTCAAAGCTAATTTCCGTCTACTCTGACAAGCGTGGGTGCACCAATTAATGCTTAGATAAGCCCAGCAGCTCTATTGGTCTCGTAGTAAATAAATTTGTTGAGCTTTGTATATTGAATGTAATTCCAATTTCTGTTTTCAATCTAAATGCAACGAAGAACTTTCTGATATTCAAACCATCAGATAAAGAAACACCAACAGTGGTTGACCAAATATCGAGTTCAGAATTACTGAATTGTATTTCAGAGATAAAAATTGTTTTTGAAATAACTTTACATTCAATAGGTTTGTTTGAGAACTATCTCAAGAGTCCAGGCGAGGAAGCTGCTAAGCCGTTGACACAGTTATTTGATGGTGTGCAACGTGCCTATCACGAACGTTTTACAACGGGCACAACTGAAAATTTCTTAGACTTTATACTTACATTTTTAGTTAATAAATGTTCCCAGGATGCCGATGACGAAGATAAGAGGTCCCATCATTTTGACCAGGAAAGTTCCAGGGCTGGAAACAGAAATTCGGACAACGATTTTGCATTGGATTCCCAGCCAAACAGCATTTCGGAAGAAGCTTTCCAATTAGATTTAGAACACAAAAAAGCTACTGCTCTATTGCCAAATTTTGAAATTAACGTAAAAAATCTTGAAACCAAGAATGCTAAGGCAAACGAAAAATGCCGTAGATTGGTAAATGTTTTATCTCAAACCTCAGTGAATCCTACCGGGAAAATTGAGGATAGTTTCGTACAACATCCTCTGAAACAAAAGGCAAAGCTTAAACGAGATCTCGGAAACAATTCGACTACACAAATGCAAGATTGGGTAAGTTCGAATGAAGATATTTCGATTGGTGAAGTGCTCAACAAAGATAAAAGTAAAAAGAAGCCCGAACGCAAATTGTCCAAAGATTCAAGTATGATAGATTTTCCACAACTGAATCAAGCAAAGCAAGGCAAAGGAATTGACGGGTATGTTAAGTATTCCGGTGCCGAAACAAGGATGAAGTCTGAAGAGATGTTGAAAAGTTTTGAAAATGAAGACAGCGCGCTGAAGTCAAGAAGTTCCATTCTCTTTTCCGAGTCACCAGCTTCGATGCTATCTCTGAGAGTGAAAGAATTGGAAGAAGAAAACGCTTTTCTTAGAAATGACATGAGATCATTACAAGCTAAATACGAAGATACTTTGGCTGAGCTTGGGCGAATGGCTGTTCAGAAAACTGCGAAGGAAAACGAAGAAAGAAAATCTGAACTCTTTCAGCAAATATTTCGTTCCTCATTATCCAAGGCTACTGTCTTGCTCACCAGCAAAGACAGTGCAATTAATTATATGAATCGCCCTCCAAATAGGTTCCTAAAACTTCAAACCACAAACGAAAGGGCAGATGCACAAGCAGTTATCTATCCAGCCACTTCTGTTGAACAGCATGCCGAGGGGCCAGGGGCATTGGTGCAAAGAAGTAATCGTCAACCTGGAAAAGAAGAGACGGTTACAAGTGAAGAAATTCCAAGAGGAGATCAACGGGACACTGAGGTATCAACCTTCAGGAATAGCAGCGAAAATCGAGCTCCACCAACGCAAAACTCGGCGAGTAATAATACATCAAGGGAGAAGACAAATGGTGTGGAGGGAACAAATCAATCTGAAAAAGTCCAGGGAGCCAGCGGTTTAGCATTGTCATCCCGCCAAAGCTATGAAAATTTATCACTCTCTGTCCAACAAGATTCTGCAACGGAGTACATATCTCTTGGTAATGTACCACCTACATCTGTTGCAACAACCTTGTACAACAACTACAAGCTCCTGTTACTATCCCTGGCTAAACGTCTTCTCTCCGGCGACGTCGTAAAACTGAAGAACTGGGGAAATCAGAATTTCTCAATCAACGACCCACAGAATGCTACCGATGTCCTCTTTCAACTTGATCAAAAAGGAATAATCAATGCTTCAGATTTAAGTCAACTTTGTCATTTCTTTGAATCTATTGTCAGATTTGATCTTGTGTATATTATCGACGCATTTCTCTTTGGTGATTACAGTTTACTTCGCCAAAATCTAGGACCTAAACAACAAGCAGCAAATACAGCCCAAACCTCCCAGTCTCGCTCCACTGCAATGTATCACAGTTTGTTCAATGGAACAAACACTGGTCGTCAATCTTTGGTCAATCCAACTGCTAGCCGTATATTACAAACCAGCCCAGGAAGAAATGCAACAAATTTAAGAAAACCAGCAATCGGCAAATCACCACAAAGATCTCACCATCAACAAACACAACTGGCAGCTTTCCGAAATTTGTCGGACACAACCAATCCAGTACGCTTACCTAGGTCCCCAAATGAAAACCAGTCCACGGCCTCTGAGCAGCAAAACGTTAAAACTGCTGGAACTGGATTTACTCCGACTAGAGTAGCTGATGCAGTCGTTGCTGATGACCCTAGTGTTACAAGTAAGTGCTTTTTGATATTTTTGACAGATGGAATTTTAAAAATTCAGCTCATGTCACTTAAAGTCAGCGAATATATAACAATCATATTGACTGATGATTTAATCAAGCTTCTTCTTTAATAGAGATCCAAAATTATAACCTGGAGATTTCTAGTTCTAAGCGTATATAAAGCACAATGGGACTTATTTCATGTACTGTGAATCGACCAATCTTGACGTGTGAATCGACCAATCTTGACATGCAACAAAACCTCATTTTTCCATTTATACTGGGTCCTTATACAATCCCATTGTACAGTATCTTTTGTTCTTAGATATTCAAATTCTGATGTTACTCAAGTATTAATAACTTTCATAGAATAACCTTTGAGTAAATTGCACATGTACACTGTAAAAAGACGCAGTGTTCTAAAGAAAAGCACACTTGTGGAATGTAGTTTGGCTAGAGAGTCATGGTTTCATTTACGATGAATTAAAGTCCAATATCTCAATCACTCTATTGTCTCGATTAAAATGTAAACAATTTACATTAAGTTAGTTAATGTTTTGGCCTGCAGTGACACTGGCTGCATAAAGACAAGTCCTTATACCAATCCTTTTCGTTGTAATTTTACTTTTAATCTGATGATGTCTTGAGTTAAAGCGAAACGTCACTGTCAAAAAAAAACTTGGAGAGAAATGAACAATAACAGTGAAATGACACTTTGAAAGAATGTATTTGTATCGTTCGAAAAACAGGCGAAAGAAGAACAATGGCAGGAAATTCTTTGACAAGAAGAAATCCATCAGTGACAAACAACCCACATAACGCCCAGGCAGTCGGAAGCAATGGTTCAAAACATTCCAAATTCCAGCGTCCAGAAACAGAAGGAAGCAACATTTCAAATTCCCAGTCCCTCAGCGGTTCGCGAAACCATTACCTAGACCGAGAAGATAATTGGTTATGCAGTCATTACAAACGGCATTGTTACGTCAAATTTGAATGTTGCAACAACTTTTGGCCGTGTCATCGTTGTCATAACAATCAAAGCTCGTGTGGACGAAAGAAACTTAAATCCCGTGACACGAAGATGCTGAAGTGTGTATATTGTAACAAAGTGCAACAGGTACGTAATTCAAAATCCATGCTGTGAAAATAATTACTAAGCCGCGTGCGTATTAGATCCTGACTTGATTCTGGTGTTTAAGTTTGCTATGAGTGTCTTTTCGTTATAGTTCTATCGTAGTTTGAAGTTTACTCAATCATTTGCGCGAAACGCCGCGAATAGGTCAATCACATTTGTTATAGGTGAAACAACATAGACAATTACGTACTCTCTATGTTAATTTGTTTCTGTTGTTTAGTTTGGTCATTCTTGCTGCGATTGTGGTGCAAAATTTTCCGACTATTACTGTGGATTGTGCAAACATTTGACTGGCAAAGATGATCATCCCTATCATTGTGAAAATTGTGGAATCTGCAGGTATGATTTGGTTAACGTATATAACACGGCCTTCTCAGGCTATAAATAAATCCATTTATGAAAGATTTATTATAATAATTAGTATTACATCCGCTTTCCACCTCTGAGAAAAAAATTATTAAACGATGCGGCATTCAGTTGTTGCATCATAACTTCGCCCGAAGAAACAAAAACATCTGTTAAAGTACTGAAAAAACCTTAAACACTGATATGTCATTGAATTTAAAGTATATTGAAAGTTGAAGTGTTTTGGTATGGTATAAAACATGGTCATGTAGGCTACATTCAAAATATTTCCAGTAAAATGAGTATGAGAAATTAACGTGAACTAGATAAGTGATAGTATGCATTAGTGAAGCTGCCCCCTTGCTCCTTGTTGACACTGCTTACCCGAAAATCGAGCTGGTGATATCATTTGCCTGCATTTGAGAGAGTGCTTTACGTTTTTTGTTTCCTGTTCTCTTGGGATATGACAACAAAACAAGCTTATTCGTTTGTGGAAGACGATAGACTACAGTTTATATTAGGAGACTTTATCACACTAAAAAAGATGCTGAAAAGGCTCAAATGGGAAATAAAATCGTTTTAAAAATAAATCGCAGCAAAGTTTTGGAAGTTGACAAAAGAAGCTTAGTGCAGATCCGACGAAAACTTTACAAACTAATTATAAAGTAGTTGGGCCGCACGAAAAATTGTCAGGCGCATTCGAGTTTTCGCCAGCGAGACATGACTGACTTTGTAAGAAAATAGTGCGCTTGCTTTTCACGTATATATTTAAAAATGATAATCAGATCTCTTTCTTTAATTGAGAAGCATTTAGAACTTGAAATCTTGCTTAGAAAAAACGATTTGGTAAGCCATCAGCCCGAAAAAAAGCCATTTTGAAAAAAAATGTAGCAGGCTTTGCGTATCTGGGAAGTGTAACCTCTACAGAAACGCTAAATTTCGACCAACCAGAAGGCAGGAAATGCAGGAGTCAGGCATCAAATTTCTACTAATGAGGGATGTATACCTTACCCGAAAGTGGGAAAACAGTCCAGACCTGCATGATGGAGCTTCTATGGTAACAGAAATATATTCAGTGAAACTCTATTATTTTAATTTAGAATACATGGAGATCGTTCGTTCCACTGTGATGTCTGTGGAGTTTGTTTGGATGTCCAACTTCGTGGAAATCACAAATGTCGTGAAGGTTCTGCGCATGATGAATGTTGTATTTGTTTGGAGGTAATGTTTCACAAATTTATTTGGATAAATAACGCATATAATATATTATTAAGTCTAAGAATGACAGTTATATGAGAATTAATAGCTCATAAATCGAAGATCCAAAAAGAGCAAGGTACGAAAGGGACTCTCGAAAAAGGACCCGTGCAAGGCACCGCCAAGGATTTAGATTTTATGTACTTCAGTTAAATGATACACATATTAGTATATACTGCATATTAAAGATTCTTAAATGGAAGAGTCATGAATTAAGAAAGAGAAAGTATATGATATGGAGTGTGCGGTGGTAGAATAAGTATGCAGGAAATACATGCGGAAAGACAAATAATAATAATAATATTTAATATTTATGCAAATTAACACGTTATAGTATATAATCAAATGCGCAAATAATAAAGACATAAACGTTACTGTGGCACAAAAGCGCAGCTTTGTCCTGTGGCAAGAATAGTCACGTAATATAGCCTTATAAGGACCATGTACGTACAGGGGAGATCATTATCATAAACTGTCAGAAAAATATGAAAATAGTTACGCTTAAGAACGTTTGTAAAAGTATTGGGACAAGACTATACGGTTAAAGAAAGATGATTGGAAAGTAGTAGTTCGACAACAGTAGCAGCCTGCTGAGTCTAGTACGGCCAAGTCACATAATTGTTAATGATATATAAGATTATTATAGCCGTAAAAAACAAAGTGGTATATACTATAGGTTTATATAGAGAATAATACACCCATGTATTTTTCTGTTTATTATATAAAGGATAGTCTTTCAAAAGCGATAATATTTAGAGAAAAGCGATAATTGAAAAGCGATAATTTTCACATGTGAGATTATTTATGATAATCTCACATGTGAAAATTATCGCTTTTATCAGTGCCCGAAATCTCCATAAAGCACTATACTTTATATAATAAATGTTAATAACCGCTGTTTATACGACATTCCATGCATCCATCTTGATTCTCAATATCCGTTTGGTCGCGCTCCCTTGATTCTCTCTATTCTTTCTCTAAGTCGTCCGTTCTCGAGTCTCGACTGGAGACCCTGCAGACTTGTGTTGCGTAGCATGGCTGCAACTTGACAAGCGAGATATATCAGTATAGGCCTTACCGGTAGCTACCAATGTTTGTAAATCACCCTCTATTGTAAACAACCAATTCCGTGAGAACAAAGACTGCGCATCAGGCGATTCACTAATTCTTTTAGATGAACCGCAACTGAGTGATGTTGAGAACAAAGCCCTCAATCCCGCTAGCGTAATTAACAAAGAAGACGAACCTTCCACTCGTACTAGTAATCAGTATCACGAAAATAACATCTGTGAGTCGGCTAATGTAATCAATTTATCTGTTGAGAAATCATCATCCTGCCGCCGAGAACAATTACATGAAATAGGAAAATTGACTACAAATAATAAAACGCCTAAGGAATTGTTCCAGCAAACTCGAAAAAGCTTGATCCCGTGCCCATATTTGTTTGGAAGGGGATGGTGTGTAAAAGCAAGCAAATGCGATTATTCTCACCAAAACACTGGCAGAGAAAAAAATGAGTTGCTCAAAAGTGAAGTGCCGTGTCCGTTTTTGAAGAAAAGAGGTTTTTGTCTGAAAGGAACAAGTTGTGACTTTCTACATCCTATAAAATCCCAACCGTCAGCACGACCAAGAAATATGTCCCGATATGTCCCCAACTACCCACCCGTTCCCCTTTGTCAACCAAGCATTGGACAAGACGTAAGGTTTCCTTTTTTATGTTCTGCCCCCAGGTTTGTGAACCCCTCCTCCCCCTCATTAATGAATGTCCCTACCTGGCCTCCCCGGATGTATTGAATAGTACAGATCAATCGAACTATACACATGAGATTAAAGGACATAACCCCGCTAACTGCATTTCTATTGACCTTTCGACCAATAAACCTAAGGGGTCCGGGACAGTATATGTCCCCTCGTTTCTACTATCAAATGTGATGTCACTGTCTCCAAAAATAGACGAAGTACGTGAAGTAATACGCTGTGGTAATTATGAATTTGTCAGTCTGGTAGAGACTTGGCTACAGAGTCACATTCACGCTAATATTATCAATATACAAGGATATAACCTAATTCGTAGAGACAGGGTCGAAGGCACCCATGGTGGTGTTTGTGTTTATATTAAAGATTCCATAGCTTTTACAGTGCTTGATGAACTCTATAACAGTTCATTTGATATACTGTGGATCAGCATCCGACCTAATAGACTACCCAGAGGAATTACTAACCTGATAATTGGCACAGTATACCACCCTCCCAGCGCAGACAATTCAGACATGTTGGACTATCTTTCAAATTGTTTGTCGCGTGTAGAGTCGCATTTTCCCAACTGTGGCCTTATTATCCTTGGCGACTTTAAGTTAAACGTGTCGAGACTAAGATCGTGTTATAATCTGAAACAACTCGTAAACTTCCCCACACGTGGGAATAATACGCTCGATATAGTCCTAACAAACCTTAGCACTTACTACGACAAACCTACCAAATGTGCCCCGTTCGGGTTATCCGATCACGTGACCATTGAGATTAGACCAATTAAACGATCAAAAGTTCAAGGAACATCAACAGCATCAGTAAAGGTGAGAGACTTGAGACCTAGTTCCCGCCTTGCTGTAAGGAAATATATAGAGATGGTAGACTTTCCCACCTTGCTTAACACAGGCCACTCTTGTGAAGAAAAAACATCCTTATTCCAAACAATAAATAATAATGGGTTGGATTCAATTATTCCGCTACGTAATAAAACTGTTAGATTAAATGAACCTCCATGGATGAACACAACTTTGAAAGGTCTTATAAGGAAACGACAAAAAGCCCTTAATCAAAAAAGAACTACAGAATTTAAAAGGCTGAGGAATCAAATCAACCGCCAAAGAAAAAAATGTCGGGCAAAATATTACGAAAATAGCGTTCACCATTTAAAACAATGTAAACCATCAGCATGGTGGAAAGAGGTTAAAAAGCTTAGTGGAATGAATGTAATCGGGGGAACCTCAGATGAAATTGTGAAAGCTCTGAGACCAGGAGATGACCCTTCTAGCTCTGATAAAATAGATTTAGCCAACGAGATTAATAATGCCTTTTTGGCTCCTATGGCTAGATATGTGCCGTTATCCTCAGTACCTCGTCAACATCTCATCCAACCTGCACAAAGTGATACAGTAATTACTACAGTAATTACTGTAACATCGAATGCTGTTTTCGAAAATATTCTCAAACTTAATCCCAAAAAAGCTCATGGTCCGGATGGCATACCGTCGTGGCTCCTAAAAGAAAACGCAGATCTATTAGCTGGTCCAATAGCGGCCATCTTGAACTGTTCATATCGGGAATGTACCCTACCTCTAGTTTGGAAGAAGGCGGACGTAGTTCCAATACCGAAAGAAAAGCCCATCCAGGATATCAATCGTCAGTTACGCCCTATTTCACTTACACCTATTCTATCGAAACTCGCAGAAGAATTTGTTGTAATGATTTATGTGAAGCCAGCAGTGATGGAATTGATCGATAGTAAACAATTTGGGACGGTGCCGGATAGTTGTACGACATATGCTCTTATAAGCATGCTACACACTTGGAATAAGGATACGGATGGTAACGGTTCAACAACTCGAGTTATGACGTTTGACTTCCGTAAAGCATTTGATTTAATAGACCACAATATTTTATCGGAGAAGTTAACAAAGTATAACATACCGAGGTCTGTCATGCTTTGGATCTTAGACTTTCTAACTGACCGAGAACAGAGGGTAAAACTCAGCCAAGATTGCCATTCCGAATGGGGCAAGGTCCCAGCCGGCGTCCCCCAAGGCACAAAGCTCGGCCCATGGTTATTTTGTATTATGATTAATGATCTAAGCGTTAAGGACGTTAATGAGTTATGGAAATATGTTGACGACTCATCCTTGTCGGAATCAGTTTGTAGAGATGGTCCAAGTAACTTACAAAAGTACGTAGATGAATTTAACCAGAAATCAACAGCTAACGGTTTTCAGATAAACGAATCAAAATGCAAAGAGTTGTGTATAAGCTTTGCACCAAGCATACGTGAGTTCCAGCCAATTACTATTAATGGGAAAATTGTCGAACGTGTAACATCGGTAAAATTGCTGGGTCTAACCATCTCAAATAACTTGAAGTGGAATAGTCATATTTCACACGTTTGTAAAAAGGTCGCACCTCGTCTATATTTTTTAAGACAACTAAAACGAGCGAAATTACCAGCTAACGACCTAATCCTTTTCTACTCCACCTGTATTCGACCAGTCATCGAGTATGCGTGCCAAGCATTTCACGACTCATTACCCAAATACCTGTCTGATGATCTTGAAAGACTTCAGAAACGAGCTTTTCGAATAATATTCCCAGATCAACACTACAAAGAAGCATTGAGGAACACGAACACCCCATCACTGTACGATAGAAGACAGGAATTAACAACAAAACTTTTTAAGGACGTAGTAAATAATCCTGAGCACAAATTAACGGATTTGTTACCGCCATTAAATAATGACAATAGTCATTTTTTGCGTAAAAATAGGAAATTTAACGTGCCACTTCATAAAACGAACAGATTTAGGAACAGTTTTATCACTTATAACTCTAATAAGTTTTTTGAATAACTTAGAAACTGTTTTTTACCGCGAATATGCTGGTTTTTAACCTAATCTAAATTAGCATTAGTGAGTGTTTTAGTAACAAATTATAAGTCTGCGCATACAGTATATATATGTGAACGTGTATTTTTAAGTATTTAGTCTAATCTTATTCGTTTTCTTAAACAAATACATGTAAAATTAGTTTTAATATCCTTGTAAACCTAACATATTTCAGCAGTGGAATTAGTTATATTCTGGAGCTGTAAGTTTTAGTGTCAAATAAACTATCAAACTACTATCAAGTTGCTAAATATTTTAAAAAGTAGCGAATAGCGATTTACTGTTTGAAAAGTAGTCAACTACTTGGCTACTTTTAGGCAAAAAGTAGTTCGCTATAACTACAGCTACTGTTTTAATAAAGTAGTCAAAAACTACTGGCTACTTGAAAATTGTAGTTCGCTACAGTAGCGAACTACAGCTACTTCGCTACTACCCACCCTTGAATTTTGCGCTGTGCTGAGTGATTATATTACTACCTTAAAAAAATAAGCAGAAACTCGACGTTTAGAGCGAAGGCCCTTCGTCAAGAGTTAGTAGCACAGCATTTCTGCTCAGCACAGCATTTCTACATTGGTACTACCTACACTGGTACAGACAGTTTTAATTTTGCGCGCACATTTTTATGTAAATTTTCTGTGCACCGGGCAGTGAAACACACAATTGTTCATGTGCACCAATTGTGCACCAAACACATACATTAGTGTGCACATATTTGAATAATAGATCCATGTGCTGTCCACTATATTAGAAATGTTGAATTAGAAATAACTGAAATGAAACTTGTGCAGTATTGTGTTGTACTGTTGTATGCTTTCGTTCCATACTGGCATGCCGTAATATGTGTAATTCGTTTCCTAATTGTACACTGTAAAAAATGGTCGTGTCAAAATAACACAAAACACGCATGTTACCTTGATAATCGTGTTAAAATAACACAAAATATGGGTGTTAATTTAAATGCACGAGTTAAAAGAACACGTAACACGCGTGTCGTCTAGCAAATTACTAAACAACATGTGTGTTTCCGTGTTGAAAAAACACTCGACACGCGTGTTGGAATAGAAATCCGTGTAAAAAAACACAGTACACGCGTGTTGTAATCATCTGTCGTGTGAAAACAACACAGAACACGCATTTTGCAATAAAATGACACGCGTGTTAAAATAACCAGCTATGTTAATAAAACAACAAAGTACGAACGTGTTGTAACATGATACTGTATTGAAACAACACAGTATATGCGTGTTGCTATACAGGCATGTGTTTGAACAATAATTAAAGAAATAGAAAACATTTTCCGTGTTTCAAAACAGTTATAGAAACACGCGTGGTACAGTTGGGAGAACGAGAAATAATCGGTTGGAAAACGAGCTCGTGGGACGAGTACGTTTTCCACGTTATTTTATATTGAGTTCACCCAAACTACCACAAGTGTTTCTGTAACTATATAAAAACACAGGAAAATATGTTTTCTATTTCTTTAATGATAGTATAAATCAAGAGATACTTTTAACTCGATTAATTTGTAAATTCTCATTACGTACATATGCTGACCTTTTCTCGTCAATTTTACTTAACCCCCTCCCCCACTTTGTTTGAAAATTAACCGTAATTATGGAAATTAATGCGTTAAAGTATTGAAATCCTTTCTAAATCCTTTTAAAGTCTTATAAGTCGCATAAAAATTGTTTTGTTTACGATTTAAGTTTTGGTGGTTATAGAAACACGCTTCGCGCGTGTACTATGTTATATTATAACATTATAAGGGTTGTTGCACTATGTGTTTAGACAACACAGTGCACGGGTGTTGTAATAAGTTTCAGTATTTAAAAAACAACATATTTTTAATTGCTATATATACACAAACAACCAACATTTTCATCTGGCTTGCCTATTACAAATCAAGTTCAACATCTCCCCACTTTGTAAATTGTACATACAATTGTCCATCCATCACTCTCTTAGAGACCACAAACTTATATTTAAGTTCCAGAAATGTTGTGGTAAATTCTTCCCCCAAATCTGGTCCAACATTGTATGCTAAAAGTTTTTCGGAATAACATGAAGTTATTCGAGGCTGTATCACGAAGAATTTTTCGTCCTGTATGACGAGGATTTCTTTAAGTGTGCCAAAACATGGATACAATTCTGTCTCCCCAATGTACAAACAGCATCCTGCACGATACTCAATTCCGTGAATAGTTGCACAGTTGGTACTTAAAAGTAGAATTAAGAGGTAATTGAATAAGTCCTGATACACAATAAAGTATACTGTAAATACAATCGCAGTGACGTATTCATCTTTTACCTGAATGCCTCGGGGACGGCACCGTCCCCAACGCGCAAGACCTCTCTAAGAGTCTGCCAACATTTATGAAGTTGCAAAAGAACAGGTACACCTACAAAAAAGTATACAGTATTCAGCATATGAAATATAGCCTGCGTGGCAGGCCCTCAATTTTATGGGAGGCCTGATTTACAGCGGGCAGGATTTTGGAGGGCACGGGAGAGGATCAAGCGCCTGCATATTCTGAACGGTGAATACGATCACCTGATTGGTCAATACCAAGGCAGTGGAAAACCGTAGTATTTGGTGATTTCAATATTGTTGCTATCTAATCCTCGATCTAATCTTGAACGTCGTGGCTATTTTTTTTGTTCAGCAGCGATACAAAAGATGATCTCACTAGCCAATCATCAGGAATAGCACAGGATACTGCAAATAATTAACGTGCATGGATGTAAATACTGATTCTCACGATGTACTAAATATTTGAACTGTCTTTTTATTTGTAGGGTTCGCGACACAATATTCCCATTTGGATGAGCTAAAAGCACTTTTAATTTAAGAATTTAGTGACGAACGCCCTTCGCACGTTTTCAAACCGTCGATGTTGAGCTTACTTATAGTACATCGTCAGAATCAGTATTTACATCCACGTTGTTTGCAGTATACCTGTGCTATTTCCTGATGACTGACCACTGAGATCATCTCTTGTATCGCTGCTGAGCAAGCATTTTTTACGCGCAGATTTCCATTCAGTTCTAGAGATACTGCCCGGAGAACCTCGTGGAGAACAAACGCGATTTGATTTTCGGTTGAATGGACTAGCGCCACGGTCAGGAGTTAACAGTTTACGCTTTCCTGATGCATCTACATCTACATTTTAATTCCGTTTATACAAGCTCATGCACTTTTAGAATTTTTCTTGTCGGAGCATGTGTTGCAAATTTTGGTTGAATGATTTTCATAGTTTTTCAACGGTAAGCCAACTTTATCACATAAATCTGAGAGCAAAATTCCGAAAGATTGTTTTCTTTGTGACGGTTTGAACAGGTTTTGCGATAAAACATGCACAATTTTACTAAAATTGCTGAATTGCTGTTTAAAACAACATTTACAGACTGCAATAATCGTCCGGAGCAGTTCGCGACATTGTTTGATTGACATGTTTTGATGCAAGCGAAGATATTTCTTTCGCCCAGAGTTTTCCCCAATTGCAGCTGAATTTTTATTGGTCAATTTTAGAATTAATTAATTATGTTATGACTGGGGCGAAAAGTGGGCTTTCCTGCAGGCCCTCAAACCTGCAGGCTACCAAAACCCTGTCCGTTGCAAATCAGACCCCCCATAAAACTGAGGGCATTCCACGCAAACTATATGAAATACACTGCATATATACATGCATACAAATATATACATATATGCATATGTACATGCATGCAAATATACATGCATAAACTAATATTAATATGCATAATATGAAAAAACTCTAATTAGTAAATTGCTGTATTATACAACAGAAATGGATCAAACAACTGTTCTGAGGTTCTCTTGTTACTTTCAGCAACTTCATCACCTCGGTATAAGTAATTAGGTGCACTTTTACCAGGTTCACCCAGAAGGTTCATGCACATGTAACCCTGATGTCGTGTAGCTATGGTCTTGGAAATATTCTTGAAATTTCGAAGCGGCAAACTCTTGAAATAAGAGTTTTTCGCCTCAAATCTCATGCACCATACATTTCTCAGTGGACCAAATCTGAAAGTGTGAAAGATAAATACATACATATATATATATATATATATATATATATATATATATATATATATATATATATATATATATATATATATATATATATATATATATATATATATATATATATACATACCAAAGCTTCTGTGGCTAACACAAGTAATACAACACGTTGAAAAGTAAGTAATAGACACTAAAACTGTCACAGTATATGTTAATGAAACTGAACGCAATAATTCGGGTAAACGTTTCTGCAATGCGGGTTTATGTCACAGCCGTCACACTGTTGTTCTGACCTTCAAATCTTGTTAGGACGCTACAGTAAGTACATGTTCTCTTACGGTGGCTCCTTACAGTTTCTTGAAATCTGGAAACTTCATGATTCGGATCAATTTTTTCCCAAGATTGTTACTAAATTGTTACAAAACAGAAATTGTACAGTATAAAACAATATTTATAGAGTTGGAAATGATTAATAAAAATGGCATCATTGTCGTTGGTATGACAACAATGGCGTTTCAATATGGCCTCTACAGAATTGTTTTAAACTCGTTTAAAAATTCCATCATATTTGGAAGAAAACAAATAAAGGGAAACCGGCCTTTTTTCGAGTAAAAAACGTTTAAAGCCAAAAATAGCGACCGTATTTTAATGTCAATGTTGCCATAGCAATGACCGCGACGTTATTTTTATCAATCATTTGCAACTCTAAAAATATAGTTTTATATAAGTTACACAATTCCGGTTTCGTAACAAATAACAATCTTGAAAATTTTTTATCCAATCATAAATTTTCCAGATTTCAAGAAACTGTAGGGACCCAACTTAAACACCAAAGCGAGAGTTGGCGGTGAACAGTACACAGTCATGTTCTCTTAACACCAAAGCGAGTCGTCGTGGTGAATGGTACATGTTCCCTAACACCAAAGCGAGGCTTCGTTGTGAAATGACTGCTTGTGTGTCCAGGTACAAAATACACGAATATAATCCTAAACTCCTAGCTAGTGTATACGGTTTATAGGATTAGGGTCAGGATTATACGATTTTGTACATATTACAGACTGCTCGTCAAAAGCCCGGTTAGGACTTTAGCCCGAGGCGTGTTCGTAAGTTTTGATAAGAAATGTCTGGAAACAAGGCCCATTCAGTACCTAATTTCGAAGTGTTATTTAGAAGTGTTATTTCGAGTTTAGCTTGTGCCACTTTGGCAATCATCATCATGAGAAAGCCCACTTCATAAATCACTGCTATAAAATATGAAATTGTCTTACCTTAGAATCTGAGAAGGATAATGCACCATGAAATGCATCTTGGGTATGATACTGGTATTAGGATACACTTCTCTAAATAGCGTGTGATGCTCTGCGATGAGAATTCTTAGGACATGAATATGCTCATTCTTTATTTCGTATGCTGAGCATATGCTTGTGATTTTTAAAAGAAGGATAAAACATTTCCATTTTCTATCCTCATCTTCAATAATATCACCAATCAGAAATGGAAGGTGGAATGCAAGGCACACCATCTGAACCGCTATGAAAATAACACATGAATAATTATTGTAGCTATACATGTGTGAAATACGGCGAGTAGCTCAACCAATCAGACTACATAAGAATACTATATTGAGAGAAGTACAAAATAATATTTAACTTCGTTACGTTTTTAAAGATGCAGTACAGTTTACGCAACTTTATTCAAATCAAATTTTTTCTATCAAAACAATGGACTTAATTTATGAAGCAAGTTTTATACATTTTCCTGCTTCTGCAATGATATAAATTATAAATGTAGCACAAACCACAAACAAGTTTTGCAACAACATGCAACCTAGTTAAACTGCTCGTATTATGATTAGGAGACTCATTTGTACGCATGCGCAGAGTGGACTGTACAGCGTCTTTAAGATATTTTTATTTATTATATATTCAAAGTCTATGCCATTTGAACTATAAATAAACTGGAAGGCTAACTCCTATGATGAAAGCCTCGTTGAACTCGACGCGCGGCAAACTTTTCAAAAGGACTGAATTTTCAAAAGGACGGGAAGCTTTCAAAAGGACTAAGGAGAGTTTCAAGGAGTGAAAAATTTCGGTCAAAAATTTGTTTTTGAGCAACAATTTGCAAGAAAAACACTTTTTCCGTGGAAATAGTACAGTGATTGGGATTCAAACCAGGTCTTATACTATTAGATCCGATTTTGCTTTTTGGACGTGCCGAATAAAACCTCGCTCTTCAAGTCGAAAAAATATACTATGAACATTTTGACAGTCCCAAAACTTAGTTTGTATTAAACCCCAGGTATTTTTATTTATTCTGAGCTTTTAGTCCTTGTTTTATTCCTTCTAAATCATGAGTAAATTGACGTTTTTCAAATGATGTTATTTTCGTCATCGCATTTCTGTTGGGCATTTATATGAGCACTCAGCCAAGCTAGCTTTGATAATGCTTATTTTAACTGTTAAAAGTAAGTCCTGGATACTTTAAAATAAATTTGCAAATGTATCTAATATTTTTCTACGTAATTTGTATCATAAAATCGCTTAACTCTTTTTGAAAAGTCTCATAACTCAGAAAAGCCAAACATTTTTGCGCGGTTTTTTGACAAATTTTGTTTTGGTCCTGTAATATTTTAGTAGTTGAAGGATGTTTGTTTATTGCAAGTACTTGAGTGGAAAAATTAAATGTCTTAGTATGCTCTAAAATGAAAAAGGAAAGGAAATTAATTTCAGGCGTAAATTTTATCAATATAAAAAGTGTACTTTTCAAAACAAATTGGCAAAAAAGGGACTGGCACTACCTACAAACACGGCTTCGACCCCCCCTCCCCCCTGGATAACACAAACCTCGGCCTGGATAATTCTCGATATCATACGAAAACCGAATTTAATAATTGTTTAATAATGTTGCTTATGATTTGTACACGCGGATGTCCATCAGTGCTCATTGAATGTTTAAATTAAACTGACACATCATATCAGTTCAATAGACCTACAACAGAATTTATTAACAGTACAGTATCCTAGTGGCTACAGTAACCAACTTTTCGAAAGCTTGTCCATTATTTTGTCTGACGTCTTTTGTGTATTATATTTAATCTGTGTCCATAATACTACAGTAGCACTATAGTATTATATGCATGTTCCCTTCACTGCTATAAGTTAAACATTTTCTTTACAGCAAATGTACTTACCACTTTCCTTTAATGTATCTTGGCTATCCTCTCTCAGGATATTTTTTGATATCGAGATTGGTTTGTTCTTCTTGTCAGGATAGTCGTAATCATAGTCTTCAATGCGTCTATTAATGTCAGCCAACCTAATCAATACAGGACCACCAGAATTACCTGTGACATGCTGCAGCAACAACTTCATTTCATATGGCAAAACACCTTCATAAAGGTCATGCATAACATCGTGTGGAAAATGCTTGGTAATGTCGAAGTATCTGATCTTTGAAAGAACACTGCGTTTGGTTATGCCAAAGGTTGTCTTGACAAAACTATAGAGATCAGGATCTTCAGACATATCACAAATTTGCATATGTTGACGAAGTGTTCTTTCTTGGAATTGCTCTGCTGTAAACTAAAAGTAAAAGAAACTAATTTATTGAACAAATTAATAAACAAACGCGACAGAACATTTACGTGATAGAACATTTGTTATGATAGAACAATCCTCACTCAAAAGTGGAAATCGTCCCTTTAATGGAATAATGCCAAGTATACAGTATATGTAAATTATTGTAGTTATTTTAACAATTAAGCGTAATTATAGCAAGATTATAGCATTTACAAAACACACCTTTAAATACATATCAGCTCCAATACACCAGCAACTTCTACACTTTCTCAAGGACGTGCCAACACCTTCTACAAAACCCCCAACATAGTGGCTTCCAAGAGTATCAGCTGAAAAGGCAACCAATGTTCCTCGAAAAACACGTTCTCCAGTTAAAAGATTTGTTTTCCAACCTTCATCCTATATAACGGCCAACACAACACAATTATAGTATGTTTCATTAAAGTACCATGCAGAGATAACCAATAATAAGTCTAATGGGACTAACTACAGTATAATCAAGGTTTTGTGGTTGTGAATTTGACTTTCAGAAGACAACCCTAAATTGATTAGCTGTATTTGGTAAACTGCTGGGTCATGTGCCTTTCACCTATAATTACACTGTACCTAACATAAAACTGGTGACAGAAATGGTTATTAAATTCAAATGACAGTAATGATTACATAGTACCTTTGCAAGCTCGTTTACTCCAGATATGAAAGGCATCAATAGTTTTTCAATACCAAATTGCCTGATATCGCACGTTTTTGCGACAGCTATAAGTTGAATACTCCGTATGGATGACCTGTACCAAGGTTTTAGGTTACCCAATGTGTAATAGAACAAACCTAAAATAAAAGCAGCACAAATAACAACTATTGCATAATAATTAGACTAGTAGGTCCGGGCCATATCAGATCTGGAAAAAAACCCCGCTGTAAATTGATTGTTGAATCACGTTGAGCGTGATTAGCCCGCGTGCAGGCCCAGGGAAGAATAATTGGCCTGCACGTGGGCTAGAGCGTGATATGAAGATTATTTCACTCACCAACTTTATGCTTTTTAACTTTATAACCAATTGGATTAGCCAATTCAACATCATCATAATATCCAATGATTTGCAATGCTTTGTTATCCACAGAAAATATTGGATGGTTGAATGTTAGGTCACCATCACATATATCTCGGAGGATACCATCGTTGCTTTCATGTGGATTGTCGATTTCCTCAAGAACGTTTTCATTGTTTAATAAATTCTAGGAAAATTATCAAAATACAGAAAGTTGCAAGTCCAGAATGCAAGATATACAGGGCTTTCAGTATTATTCTGAGTATGTGTCTGTTTTGATAAAGTATAGCTGCAGAGTTTCCCCATTGACGAGTAAAATCGTTTGGCGTTAGACAAGTGAAAATAAAGTAGAGCGCACTGGGGCGCGTTGTGGATCAGTGGGTTAATATAGCAGAGAACAATATTTAAAAACATTGTCTTTATAGCTTAACTCAATGTCATTAATTAATCAAAGTGCATTATTACTATGTGTTTATTTTCCTGTTTATGATTGACTTGTTTATTATACTAACACAAAAGATTGTCCATGTATAAGCTCTATCCCTCATATATACTGTAAGCCCCCCCCCCCCTTGTATAAGCCCATCAAAAATATAGGCCAGGGTTTATAGTCCGAGATTTACTGTATTCCATGAACCCATTAAGATGTGATGTTGTGATGGATTAACAGACTGTGTGTGCATGTCTCAGTTACCATTAGCACTTACATACCCTAATTTAATTTCTATTTGACTTCAGTCTCACACCAGGTGTTGGTTGTTCATAGCAGGCCTTAAAATATCTTTTACAGGGCCGTCTGACAAAATGTCCGATGACGTTGAGTTTGGGTCGGACATATGTCTGATGACCTTCAGTTCAATTTCGAGACTTGGAAATAAGTCTGAATGCCGACACAAAATGAATATCAGCAGAATGTATTAATTCTGAACGGTAAATGTTGTGAAGATATTAAATAATTTGTTTCTTTCATACTTATTTCCAAGCCAAAATTAACTTGCTTTCCAGAACAGCAGTAAAAGACTTAGACAACTTAAGCCTGTTTTCCACTTCACCATGCATTTCGCTCCCCGCCCCGTGCTTGACTATGTTAAAAAAATTTCCAGTTCACCTTTTATACAATAATACTCTGATTTTCCATTTAACATATGAGCCTCTAGTCCTGGGATAGGGTACATTTTTATTTATGTTGGACAAAGCTACAGTTTGGTCGGACACAAATACACTCAGGTCGGACAAACAATAAACCTCAATTTCACTTTGGTCGGACAGAATGTCTGGTGGTTTCCTCTCTACGTCGGACAATTTCACTAATGGGTCGGACAATGTCCATGACCGACCAATATTTTAAGGCCTGCATAGCCGGATTAACCCTAACCCGTAGTTAAAATTTATGTATTTCTACATAGCCTACAGTATCTTTTTGTTTTAAAATTATGAAAAGAAAACTCCTATGGTACTGATCCAGACAAGATGTCTAAAGAAATATTTCCAAATTTATAAACAAACTGTTAGGAAGTTTGCTTAATCTAAGGTTAACTTATCGGCTTTCGAACAATCAACCCCTGCATGGTGATTGTGTTTGTCAATGGGGAGTGTGTTGGACTTAAAAGGTTTTAACCTTTCATTGAAACTAGATTGTCTGCCCGCATTTTGTGTTAACACATTATTAAGATAAAAGCCATGCAGGCTACTTTCAGTACTTCATGATTTTACTATGTCTAACATCAGAGGATCATATTTCATATTAATCCTTTTAGATGCAAAGTACATTTTAGTCATCCAGAGGGGGAGGGAGTCCAAGAGTAGAATCTTCTGTAAAAACTGATAGGTTAAAATAACCAAAAAAAAATAGGTTATTTCAGTTGGTCTAGGACAACCGGTTTAAAATAGGTTATTTAAATAGGTAGAAATAACTAAAACTAAATAGGTTAAAACAAACTATTTCTAGTGGGTTATTTTAACCTGTAATATAGTTAATTGTACCTATTTAAAATATGTTATTATAACATTTATTTTTAGGTTAAAACAACCTAAATTTAAACAGTTAAATCTACTCAGAGATATAGGTTGTTTTTGCCAAATAAATATAGGTTGTTTTTGCCTATAAATATTTGGTCATTTTAACCAATAATATTTGGTCAATTTAACCTATAAGTTTTGGTTAATACAAATATAACCTATTCTTTATGGTTGAAATAACCTATAAATAATGGTAAGGGCCATGAGTCTAAACCAGCCCTTTAAAATAGGTTACATGCGGTTGATCTAACCTAAAAAAAATAGGTTAAAATCAAACAGGTTAAAATCAAATAGGTTACAATCAATATTTGACTCAAAGTCAAATTAGTAAATATTAAAACAATTTCAGTACTTTGATAAAAATCATGTATTTTTTTTAAGGAATGCATAAGTCTTATATATAATATATAATTAAAATAATCTACGAGATAATTGAGTTCCAGTGTGCGACAATTGCAAAACAGTAAAGTGGAAGTGGAGCAGAGTTTGATGGCATGCGGTCATCATATTATTTTGTGAAAGTAAAAAGCTCTTCATATATAGAAGAAACAATGGTTATCTCACAAAATTGTAAGCTTGTAAGCTATATAATTATATAATTGTAAGCTTGTAAGCTATATATAGTTTAGAGTTATACTATATAGAAACACTCACAGAAATAGCCCATGATTGTGAGGGTCATAACTCTCACAATCATGGGCTATTTCTCCACGTCAATTGGTAAAGTACCGGTATGGCAATTATTGGCCAAAAGAAAATGTTCTAAATTACTAAAACATGTAAATGTTCTTACTATGACCTGTTGGCCCCTTTTGGGTACTGCATGTTAAAACGTAGTACCCTGCAAGCAAACGTGCCACTGCGTTGGTAATATTGCACGGATCGTATCTGAATTTTTTACAACCATTCCCTCTGCAATCAATGAAATCGAACTTATCTCTTCCAGAGGTCCATTGGCCAATAGACGAGGGGTTGAGCATCCTGATATTTTGGGAGCAACTTCAGAATCATCCTGCAACAAGGAAATATATAACTGAGTGAAATAAGCATTTCATGCACAACTTACACTTTTGTCTAAATATTGTACTTCTCCTGTAGTTACACTACAAAAATATACATCACTTCATAATTTCTATCTAGATATTTTTTGTGTGTGTTGGCTAATCAGTGAATATGATATTTGCCGGGCAAGCTGAAAAGTTAGCTTGGCCACGGTGGGAATCGAACCCGAGACCTTTGGGATACTAGTCCAATGCTCTGCCAACCTAGCTATGTGCCAAGTCGGTTCGGAACTGAGTCTAGTTCCTTCTATATCAGTGTATTCTATATATTCAGTACATCACATCAAGTACATAACACCAACACACATAAAAAAATAACCATATAGAATACACTGGTATAGAAAGAACTAGACTCAGTTCCGAAATATCATCAACTTGAACCGCATTGACCATGTAGCTTATTTGGCAGAGCATTGGACTAGTATCCCAAAGATCGCAGGTTCGATTCCCACCGTGGCCAAGCTAACTTTTCAGCTTGCCCGGAGTGGTTTCACACTCAGAGTAACATCACAAACATTCTATCTAGATGTTATAAAATATACAAAATTCACTTACAAGAACAACTTTAATTAAAGGAATGTTCTCCTGAGGTATGCTCCTTCTCCTCAAGGACATATGTCAAAGCTGCCATGATACAACGGTTTTGTAACTCTACAAAAGGTCAAACATAGAATAAATTTCTATACAGATTAAAATACACATATATAGTTAAGTTCTAATTCTATTATACACATATAGATTAAGGTTTTATACAGATTAAGTATCTTAAGGCCACATAAAATAAATTCCTTGATTCTCATCACCGCCCGACTGTATTTTAAGAGCTGCGTGAATTTTTTTTATATTTTGTTATACAATATAAATGTACCGCCCGACAAAATATGTCAAGACAGTTAAGTTTTTTATATTTTATATTGGGTTTTTAGTGCCATTTTAAACTGCCAATTTCAAACAAATAGAACCTTCAAAGAAATTTCATTGCATTTTAACGGAACTTCGCATTCAGTTCAAGGGCCAGTCATTGTTCGTGGAGAAATATGCCTTATTTCAGTTTGTGACACTTTTATTTATTGATATATATTAAATTATATAAATATAAAATATACACCTCCCGCCTCTTCGACATTTTCAAAGTGTAGTGATGAGAATCAAGGAATTTATTTTATGTGGCCTAATATAGGTTAATGGTTTAATCCATGTGCGGATACTAAACAATTCTTTCTTCAAAAACTGTAATCACTGTAATCAATCTGGTATTAGTCTATTAGACATAGTGAAATAATCTTGCGTTAGACAGAGTAGCATAATCATTAAAATAGGGTGCATCAGGGCACGATGCAACTCGATGGGTTAACTAGACACATGGGCGGATAGGACAGTTATACCCATTAACGAGTAAAATAGTCTGGTGTTAGACAAAGTAAAATAATAAAGTAGGGCACAATGCAACTCAATGGGTTAACACAGTCGAATAAGAACACAATCACATCACTATATTGTAATGGCAGAGGAATATTAACACACACTATTATAAAGTTGTGCACAATGACTTACAATGTGAAGTAACTGAAGCCCATAAATTAAACCAGTTCTTGCTGTACGGTATCTCTCAGGGTCTGTGTACACAATGCCAGATTTTCCCTTGAACATGCCTTGCTGTGCCAATTTGTAATTTTCTGTGGTGAGTAATTGGCTACAAAATAAAAATTGGGATTATTCTACAGTCCAAGTTAATTTGTAGACAATCCTACTGTTACACAAAAACCTTAAATAGCCTGACTCATTATTTTTAAGTTATACAGTTCATACACTTGTCTTTTTTAAATTTTCTTCTCAGTCACAACGAGGGCTACCTTTGAGAAATACCTGGCATAAAACAATTGGTCATAATTGGACACCTTGTCATTTCTAGGGCTGCACGGGCCACAAGATAGAACCTTTTGCTATTCGGCTAGATGTCAGTATGTCAGATATGTTGGACGATATCAGGCCAAATAACTGATACTGTTGATATAAGATTTATACTTTCATTTAAGATAAATAATTATTTTAATTGGTTATAAAATGAGGGTGTTTATAACACTTTGATTTGATACTTTGTCCAAGCACAGGTACATTTTGGAAGAATGCCATGTTATCAGTGCCATGAAACATTTTCAGAGGAAAAATATGGAAATATCTCTTATATATAGCAATATATATAATAAATATCTCTTATATATATATAGTAAATATCTCTTATATATAGCAAAACAGGTGCTCTGAGCTGAGCTCTACATGGTATCCCGAAAAAACCCCCCAAAGTATTGAAACAATGTACCATATTGTTAGAATTTGAACGTCCTACATGACTAAAAACGCACAGGTTGTTCCAAGTTGATATCGACAGGCGTGAACAATGTTGTGCGGCCAACTATGAACAAGTTGTCAACCATGTTGTTCCA